TTTGTTTGGGAAAGATGGTATACACATATCTTTTTAACAGTTATGGAGAGCTAATGGGAAAGAAGAGGACATTAGAGAGAGTAGACTGGGTGATTAGGTCAATGTGAAGTGTTTGCTAATTGTTACTTCCCTAGGTTAGGCTCCTTGACCTCCCGTAGAGATTGGGAATGGGAATGGATGCTATCTTCCCTGATGGTTGCATTCAAAGGAATGGATCTAGGTCCTGGCTCTAGGTCCTCTAGGCCCTAGGCTGTAAAACTTCCCAGAGCCTGGGAGGAGATTTACACTTGAAAGGGCTGAGAGAGAATTTACAGTGGAAAGTTTTCTAAAGAAAATGCTGTAGGAGGCAGACAGGCAGCCACCTGATTCCACACTACAAAGACACAGAGGACACCAGACCACCAGACCAAGGTACTGAGTCCCACTGTTCCTGGCCCAGAGGTAGGGGCTTCTGAGCTGTCGTCCCGCTGCTCCTGGTCCAGAGGAAGGGGCATCCCGGTCACCATCCCTCCCGCTGCTCCCAGCCCAGAGGAAACAGCTTTTGGGCCACCTTCTGTCCCACTGCTCCTGGCCCAGAGGAAGGGGCTTCCAGGCCACCATCCCTCCCACCGTTCCCGGCCCAGAGGGAGGGACTTCTGAGCCACCGTCCCACTGCTCCTGGTCCAGAGGAAGGGGTTTCTCGGCCACCATCCCTCCGGATGCTCCCAGCCCACAGGAAAGGGCTTTTGGGTCACCATCCCTACCGCTGCTCCCGGCCCCTGTCCCACCTCACCCAGCTCAGAGGAGGTAATCTGTGCAGGCACTAACAGCCCCCCGCCCCAGTCAAAATGAGAAAACACGTAAATAAGTCTCAAAACCAGACTTCCAGATCACCTACAGCAACCCCAAAGGGAAATGAGATGGAACACTCTGATACTCAACCACCTGGACCCACTGAACTGGCAACAAAAGGGGATCTGGAAAAAATGAAATCAGAAATAATTTCTCAGATAACAGGAGAAATTGTGCCCCTAGTGCAAGACATGATTAATAAATCTAGAGAGGAGCTGAGGAACATGATGGAATCCCAACATAAGAAACAAATGGAATCCATAAAACAGATGCAAATAGATTTCCAGGAGATGAAAAACTCCATTGAAAGTCTACACAGCAGAATGAGCCAACGTGAGGCCAGAATTTCAGATATAGAAGGTAAGATTGCAATTAGTGACCAGGAAAAGAAAGATTGGTTCAAAATTATAAGGGAACATAAGAAATCAATCCAGCAGCTGCTAGATGATGCAAAAAAGAATAACATAAGACTGATTGGAGTCAAAGAAGAAACAGGAGAGAGTGCAGATGACATAAAAAATCTCTTCACAGAAATAATGGCAGAAAACTTCCCAAGGAGGGGAAAAGAGCTTGACATACAGATAAGTGAGGCATATAAGACTCCAAATAGCCTTGATCAAAAAAAATCTACACATAGGCATATAATTGTTAAGATTCCAGAAACACAACAGAAGAACAAATTTCGACAAGCAGTCAGAGAAAAGAAACAAATCACATACAAAGAAAATGCTGTAGGAAAAGCCAAGAGGACACTTGTCTAAAGTTTAGTCAAACCAAGGTGAATGCTAAGGTCATCTTGGTTATGTGGGCCTTGCAGCCAATGGTAGCATCCCTATATTCTTATAAAAGGTGTCTGAAAAGGAGAAGACATACAGAGCTGCAGAAAGAAAAGACCATGTGAATACAGAGTCAGAGGTAAGAGCAATGTATCCACAGTCAAGAAATTCCAAGGATTGCCAACAGCCATCAGAAGCTAAAAGAAAGTCAAGGAATGGATTCTCCACAAGAGTTTATGTAGGAAGTCACCCTGCAAGTACCTTGATTTAGGATTTGGGGCCTTCAGAACTGTGAGAAAATCTGTTTGTTTTTCTTAAAGATTTTCAGCTTATAATAATTATTTAAAGCAGCCATAGAAACCTAATATGCTATCTTTCTAGAAGTGTTTCTCCACTTCCCATTTAACTTAAGAGATCAAAACTCTACATCTCACTTAAGATTTGTCCACCATTCACTTTTCCTATAATGAATAACACCATCTAAAAGCCATGGCTCCCTCTTATAAATTCTATTGATAATGATGGTGATAAAGATATTATAGTTGAAACATTTTTAGTTTTATTTATACCTATGGGGTACCACTTCTGCCCCTACTCAAAGCTCAGGCATCTGAGGGTGTCTGAGGACACTTAAGGACACAATTCCACTCTCAGGGACATGCACATAATGGGCCATAGTTATCTAAGAATGACTTAACATACTCAACCACACATGCACAGTATGGACAAGGTCATGCAGCAGGTGTTTTGTCTCTCTATGTCCAAATAAACTGATAAGGCACTATAATTGTTGTGAACTTAAGAACACTGTAACATTTTCGTAGCTGTTTTACTGAAGGAATACAGTTAAGCAGCTCTTGAGCTCTGGAGCAAACACTCCAGTTCTCCTCCTCTGATGCTGCCCTTACTCTGATGATCGGCTCTCTCCACTGGAGAATTAACTCACTCACGAAGGACTATATGGACGAAATGGACCTCTCCCCTGGTGCCCTTTGCAACCGGTATGCACTTTGAATCATAATTTTAAGTAAGATAAGTCAGATACACAAGCTTAAATATCATGTGGTTTGTCTTATATGAGAAACCCAAAATATAAATAAAAAGCAAAATGAAAGATGGACATTAGGAAATAGATCTTTTGTAAAGGGCACCAAGAGATGAAAGGAGGGGAGAGGGAGGAGATGGGATGGGGATGAAGAAAGAGTTAGGATGTATTCACACGTACAGGTAGCAGCCCCCACAAGGAATGTAATCATAATGCACTGCAAGCATGTAGTAACCCAAAATGAAAATTAAAAAACAAAGCCATGTGCTTAACCATTTTAAAAAATATTTTTTCAGTTTATGTCACTATTTACCTTTTTGTGTTTCATGTGGTCTTGTCAAGGCAACCTCTTGAATACCTTTAACCTTTAAATTATTTTAAGATTCTATCTTCATCTTTTTGTGGCATTTAGCATAAATATTTGAGTATTAGACATGCCCAGATTTCATAGAATAAATAAATTAACCCAAGGGTCAGCCCTTGCATGTCTTCCAAGTCGCAAGCTTTCTAGGGTCACATTTTTCTTTAATATTTTAATAGGTGGTGAGAGAAACATACCATTCTGCTCACAATATTTCTAAAGATTATAGGTTGGGAGAGGCCTGTGTTTTCTCTGTCACTTCAGTTCTTTTTCTTTGATCTCCTGCTGTTGACTCCATTCTGTAGCTTTTCTCTGGAGGTTGCTGAAATCTTGCTTTCCTGGATACTATTCTACTGGCATCAGTGTTGTGTGATAGACTCTTAGCAATGGCTTGGGAAATAAAGGGGATTAAAACATATCATAGCTTCCATGCATTCATCAGTCATTCAGCAAACATACACGCATTCATCCAGTGTCTGGTGGCCCTGTGTTAGGTACCATAGAGATGGTAAAAGTCTCCATGGTCATGTAGCTCATACTCTAGACAGGAAAACATAAATCCCACACAAGCACATGATAAATGTGAACTTTTAACCGGAATTATGATGAAGGAAAGACCTATGGCAGATTCAGAATTATGGAAGTGAACTTGAACTGATAGCTGAAGAATAAATAGACATTGGCCAGCCAGCCCTGAAGCAAATATGGAGGGTGAAGGGAAAGGAGTTAGAGAAAGATTGACAGCATGTGCTAGCACGCAATAGTGAGGTAGAATAAGCTACTTTGCAGCAATTCCCCCAGGCCCCAGAAAGTCTGTATACAGCCTGTGTATCCAGGCCAAAAAGAGACAAAATGACTTTAGAGAAAACATGGTAAACCATTTTTAACAAGTGCACTGCAGGGTTATTATCAAATGTGATCTTAATCCTCAAGTGAATGGGGAAATATTGAGGTAGAATATTATGGAAAAAAAATCTGACTCCAATGAAGAGATAAGGATAAAGTAGGTAAGCAATGGTAGATACAGGGATTCCAAAACACAGACATTGGTGCAAATGAGAGATGATGTTTAGGCTAGCTGAGGGGTGGTGCAAATAAAGATAATTACAAGGATCTGATAGGCATTTAACACAGTGTAGAGCAATGGGACCTGGTGCTATAAGGGGAGCATGGGGACAGGGTGAAGACTATCACAGCATAATTAACAGCTTGACAAACATTCAATGTTAAATTTTCTAGTCCAAAATATTGATCAGAATTTTTTTGGATATGGAAAATTTTCAGGGCCTATCTCTCCCTTGGGCCTTTCCCTAAGACTTTCTCTTTCAAAACCCATCCTCTACTATACCATTTTGCTTTAGAAATTTCTGGATACACACCATTTCTTCATAATAACTTTAACAACACAGTTATTATGTGGATAATTTGATACTAAATCTCCCTTAGCTTGGGGCCTAGCTTTGTTCTGCCAACAATTTCATCAAGCTGTTGCTAAATTACCATGGTCTCACCCTTAGTATTATGAATACCTTTGAAAAGTACTGAATCACACCATTTTTTTTAGCATATCTCAGATCAAATTCTTGGCCTTAGGCTTCCATCAGAACTTCCAGATTTGTAGGGCTGTGTGTGGGGATAGGCACTTAAGATCCTCATTAAACATTGTCAACTTCATACTGCTGTAAGTCCTTCGTATCCTAATTTGCTACTGACAAGCTTTACTATTTGCATCTGCTATGTGAGGAGCACCTTTTTATTTTCCAGTTTTCCCTCTATTGTTGTACTCTACCCTCAAATATTGGTAAATCAAGAGGGCTTACAGAGCTAAAATCTAACAGATGGCAGTCTATACCGAGTAAGTACTTCATAATAACCATGTAGAATGAAAATAATTAATAAGATTTATGATTTATAAATATTTCTGTTTCTGGGAGAAAAAAAGAATATACATGCCTGACTTTGGATCTGTTCTTGTGCTCTTTTGAAGGGAACATCCTTCTCTCTCAGAACTTCCCATGTCTCCATATCTAGATTTCTTCACCAAAGCAGATAAAGAATTGGCAAAAATTATTGACCATCATGTAAGAACAACTTTCTTAAATGAGTATCAAAGGCTTTGTTATTTAAATACATTTTAGATTATGAAAAGTAGCTCTTAGACCAAAATATTAACATGTAGTATTTAAAGTAGTGTCTTAATTGATCATTGCCAAATTTAATTATATCTCACTATCTTTTACATAATGAGATGTGCAGGATTCTCTACAACTCCGAGCCTTCATTGGATTACAGAAAACTTGGCCTTCTGTCATCTGTGAACTACTAGCCTAATCCGGTTTCCTGAATTAGTACTCATTTCTTATGACAAGAATCTGATATTGAACACTGAACATTGATTTCTTCTGCAGTGAAGTTCTAATAATGGAACAAAAATTTTTGACTCAATTTTCTTGTTTTTTTTTTTTTTTGCTTAAATTCTTTTATTGGTACATTTTAGGTATACAATACGTTTACATTTATCATTGGGTGTTTGTACCTGTACATGATGTATCTTGGTTCTTATTTTTTCCCCATTACCTGTGTGCCATTCACCCCCTCTACCCTTCCCTATTTACATAGACTTTGTTTCCATTTTTTTTCTTTTCTCATAATTTTTCCTTTCCCTGCTTTCCTTTCCCCTTCCCTTCCCACTTCCTCTACTCCTTTGAACAATAGCCATACTTAACCCTTGGCAGATTAGAAAGCATTTTAATCACTTTCCTTTTAGTAGGAGTAAAACAAGCATTGAAAATATAGGACTATTCACATAAGACTCTTTAATCCACTGTATTATATTTAGTTGATATTTTCTTACCTAATGCACGTCATTTTATGTCTACTTTTTATGCAGCAAAACTATAGTAAGAGAAAGAGACTATATTTTCTGGGTTTTTTTCTTTGAATATCATATGGATTTAATTATCACCAGTGGCTCAATATTATCTATGAAATTCTGATTATATTACCATATTGATTTTTCCCATTGCATTTAGTTAATCATCTCTTAAGAAAAAATAAGAGATTATTTCCTTTACTGATCACATTGAATAGCTATTTCCACATAGCTAATATTTAAGTCACTCTAGCAATAGTTATAAGTATTGGAGTTTGAGACTGATTGATATCTTAAAATCACAGAGAGCTGTAATGTTGTTCTACTAGTCACTAATAAAGTGTTTGCCAAAGCAATATATTATATATGCAGGGAGTTCTCAAAAATATCTAATGCTTCATAAATTTCAACTTCTATATTTAACTATTTGCTTCAACAAAATGATCTTGAATAGATTACAATAGATAACAACATGCCAATATTTTATAGTTTATGTTTTATGTATATATAGGGAGAATATATTATATGATATATAGATTTTAAATATAAATCTATATGTAGAATTTACACCTAAATCTCTGGATAGATTTGAGATGCTTAAATGCTATTTAACATGACAGACTGAAATATCTTGAATGAGAAAAAAAGAGACTGAGAAATGACTTCTAAAATCACCTTTTGCTCTTTCCAAAGTATAGGCATTATTTGGTAATCACTGCCAGGCGGCTGCTTATAATGTAATTGAAGAAAAGGAAAAAAATTCTGTCTGAAAATATGCTTGAAAACTTTATAAGATCTAAATTGATATGTAACTTAATAAAATATTAGTCTGAAGTTTTGATTTGAGAAGGTTTATGGAAGTATCTCTGAGTATTACTTTCAAATGACTAGAGAAGCAGTTCTTTGTTCTATTTTGCAAAATGTTCTCATATTATTTTATTTAATTCTCACAACAACCCTGTAAAACAGTTATCTATAAGAAGAATAACATACTGGTTTACAATTAAGGTACTTGCTCAAAGTTTTGAGGTTAGTATGCCTGACTGAGTGGACTTCACATCCACTTCCCATTTCACTTTTTCGTAGATTATCAAGTTCTTAATTTATGGTCCCTAATCAAAATTGGAGATTAGAGGATTAGGTATTAATATTGACAAGAAACAAAAAAGCATTCCAAGAGTTACATGTATAATTCTCCCTCTAAGCCTACTGACTTTATTTGAGTGTCTATAATGTGCAAGAAATAAGAGAGTTACTACATTGTCCAGCAGATAATAAGATACCTTGTAGTTTGATGGTAATCCATAGGATGGTGATTGAATCATTGAATAAATGGGATGAATACAGCAGTAAGTGGTGCTTCCATTTCCCATCAACTTCAAGAGTACTTTCATTCTCCTAACTACCACAGTGACAGGTGAAAGTTGAGATAATGCAATGATTTATCTAAATTGAACTAGTTCAACTGAAATAAGAAAGTAGCTTATTTTTTCCTAGCTTATTGAAAAGGATTTTGATGTTATCTTGAATTTCAGGCATGCTAATTCCTAGATAGGTAGAAAGAGAAAAAGCTGTCTCCTGCATAGTAATAATATGATACCTCTTCTTGGCTGCTTTTATATGTATTGATGCATTTATAAATAATTCAATTTGGAAAAAGAAGAAACTATTTTACTGACAATTTTTAAGTTTTAATCCTCTGTTGACTTTTCACAATATTAAACAAAATACAAGGTACACTGAAATTTTTCATATAAGGTAGATTAACCGATTTGTAGATATCATGATTATATCAACTACTACTTTTATGCTGCCACATAAAATGTATAATTTTTTAAACAATTATATTATTATTTACTTTATTACATAGGAAAGACCTTTGTATGATTCTCGGGTATCATACAACTTGTGGACTAAAGCAAACAATGAATTTTTTCTGGATGTCTTACCTCAATTTTCTTTATATTTCATGCAGACATGATTTCTGAGAAATCAGTTATGTGACCAATAACTGCATGTAGATAGAATCTTAATTCAAGCTGATAACTTGTATTTCTTATCTCATTAAAACTTAGCTGAGATATATAAGTGAAAGTAGTATTATGCTTTGGTTTTTAATATATCTTATTCAGTATTTAGACATTTTACACAGTTGATATCCTCAAGGCTGCACGACATGTTATGGAGTCTAAAGTTTAGCTCTGTTTATTTTTATATATACAATTCAGATAATAAAATAGTATTCATGATTCATAGTACCATTACATATACTAATCTATAAGTCAGATTTCATAGGTTTCTTAGCTCAGTCTGTTCATTTGTGTATATGTACTTACTTTCTAGGGGTGACAGAAAGAGAAGTATGCAACGTCCTAAGAAATTTCCAATAGTTTATGCTAGGAGTCATTCTTCCCAAACATTTTACTTGGCCTGAAAATGGTCTAAATTTCCTTTTAACCATTTCCTTCATGAAATGCTTTCTCTCATGATAATGTTTTGTTTGTCATCATCATTACTTCCAACACTGATTACTCATTCCTAGGGTTCTTGACCCCAGATATGCTACTGTTGTTATGAATTAACATGGTCTGTTAAGATGAATTCCTTGGAAGTATTATTAATGTATTATTGATGTATTATTGAAGTATTATTATTGCTGCAAAGTTAACATTTGCTTGGCTGTTAATTTAGTTTTTGGTTTCATGAGGAATACTATCACAATTTTTGCCTTTCAGTTTAATTTATATTTTCTATACATTTTTGTTTTGCTTTAGCTTGGTTTTGCATTTTATGACCCATGTCTTGTAAATATCATTATTGATGAAGAAAGTATAAACCTTTTGTGATATAGAAATGCAGATCTGTTACTTCTTTTTGTGATTGATTTTTTTTCTTTAAAAATATTGAGGAAATTCTTTTTTCACTGGGCTAGTATATGTTCTAATGGGTGGCTCATGCAATTTTTTTGTACAATAGAGTGTAAGATTCCTGAAGAATGTCTGTGAAAAAATTAAGAAGAATATTGTATATAAGAATCTTCATTTTAAAAAGCTAAAAATATATATTTTTGTCAGAAATCATCTGCATAATGAAATATTTTCTCTGTAATAGTGGCAGAAAGAGCTAGAGATCCGACAAAGAGAAGTTGCAATATGTGAAGCCAAAGAACAGAAAGATAAAGAGTTAGAGGAGAAAAAACACTTCCAAGAAGTTATGAAGCAAAGAGAAGAGAAATTGCACAAGCATACTAAACCCTATGAGCTTCCTCCCAGGACTGAAGTAATTTCATTAGAAAAGACAATGACTCACAAAAAAACTGATGTCTACATGCCATAAATTGCTAGCATGGAAAAGATCAAGATGGCTACCTAAATACTAGAAAAATGTTTTTGTAATTAACTTGAGGTTCTTTTTGTTTGGAAAGTTGTTATCCTGGTGCAAGCTGTCTAATAGTCATTGTTTAATCTTACCTTAGTAGTTAACTCCAAATCAAATTTAAAAGATTTCACTAGTTATAAATTTCCAAGACTACAGCTAGTGCTTTTCTCAATTGAGTCTTCTCCTCTGAAGTATAGTATTCTTGATCAGTCATTCTCAGAGTGTTGATATTCATTGGATTATATCATAAAAATGAACTGAAAATTAATTAATGAGTCGGTCTATAAGAATTGTTTTTTCAAACTAGAGTTATCACTGTCTTATACATCTATAATTGCTATTATTCAAATAAAAGAACTTATGGTGTCTCTTTGGATTTGCATTTTATAGTCAATTTATCCCAAACTGAACTTTATATCAGGGACTTGAACTTGATAAATTACTGTACATAAGCAAATCTGGAAGTGTCAGTCACCTCTGATTGGTTTGATCTTTCATGAATGCTAGAGGAAACCTCTGAGTGACAGTGGTTTTACTTTGCCTGAGGAGTTGATGAGAATATATTTGTATGATGCTGGAATGAATGGTCAGTACCAATTATTGGAGGCATTCATCCAATCAGAAATTATTTTATAAATGGAATTTCACTTCACCTGAAGCTTTCAGACTATGAATAAGAGTAAAGGGATGGGGTTCCGGTGATGCCTTTTATTCCTTTTCTGAAAAAATATAGATAGCATATTTTCCATTATTTTTCTTCAATTTTACACACATTTTTTTTACACCCATATTTTAGTAATAGTCAAGAGACAGGTGTCAAGTGACTACATGGGTGAGGGGTCAACATAAATTAGTGAAGGGGTGAGGGAATACCTAACCTATCTAAAACATTGCCTAATACTTGACTACATTTTGAAATTTATGTCAAGCATTGTAAGATTATCTAGTCTTTTTTTATGAGTTGGAGTCTCACTACACAGTTCAGAATAGCCTTGAACTCACTGTGTAGCCCAGGTAGGCCTTGAACTCACAGCAATCTCCCTGTCTCAGCCTCCTGAGTGCTGGGATTACAGGGGGGCACCACCATGCCTGGCTGAAAATTATCTAGCCTTTGAAGAAGAAGCCTTTAAATGACATTTATTTTTTTTAATTGGAAGTTCCTAATTTTTATAATGTTGGCAACTAATTTTTTAAAATTATATACTTTCAGGACTATATTTTATGGAGTTGAGGTATGATTATTTTTGATAGCAATAACATGGTAGAAAAAATGTTGGAAGTAGGTTTCTGTTCTCTCTATATATAGTATATAATAATATATATTATATATATGGGGAATATTATATATATATATATATATATATATATATATATATATATGGGGAAGGATAGGGAGAAAAAGAAGTACCAAAGAAGAGATAGAGTCTTTATTTCTATATCATTAAATTATTTTTAAAACTTGAAAACACAAATCTCACATAGTTTTTCTTCTGTGTCTGATATTTTCTGATATATCAGTCAAGATTGTGCTTGTAGATCAGGATCCACATTCCTGCTAGCCACAAAATAGTAGACAAGTTACAGGACCTTTTGCACTTCAGTGTGTTCATTTTATTTAATGGACAAAATGTATGTAAATGTTGACATCAACCAGAAGCTAATTAAGAAAACAAATCTAATCATCTTACCATCTTAATGTAAGGAATTGTTTCAAATGGTGTTAAGTGAACTAAGAAAATATAAAGGAAACTTAGAAATAACATAGGAACAGCGACTGCAGGAAATCATTACTGTAGCAGACACCTCTGCCCAGTATTAGCAGGCCATCGTGGCATGAGCTTCTTGCCCTTCCATAATTTGGCTGTGTTGCACTGGAAGTAGTCCGATCAGCTGAGTTCACTCCCAGTCAAGGTCAACTGACTACAGCTAAATTCTTCCCCTCTGAATTAACCATTTGTTTTCTTCAGTAAAGATTTGCTTGTGTCCTCATTCTACAGTCCTGCCTGCTTGATACATGTTATCAATGTGTCCCAAGGCCTGCCCAGCTTCCCCCCTTCCCACAGTTGTAATGAATAAACACTGGATGTCCTGGGGGTCCTTTGTCTTTGTGGCCCAGAGCAGCTTAGATCAGCCCAAGACTCAGCTTCTCTCAAGTCTCTATCTCTGTGTTTCTTTTAATTCCCAGTTTCCTACCTTGCGGACATTGTACTGGCTTGCAGGAGGCCAGGACCACTGCAGGGGTCTCTGGCAACACCCATCACCCTTTCTGTATACACTGCAGGACTTAAAACCAATGGAATAGAAGAGTGTGGGTTATTAGAATCTAGTTTGGAGGAAACACTTCTTCAGTAGGACTCAGATCTGTGGTGAGGGGCACAGTACATCTAGTTCTGGGAGTGCAGAAAAAAAAAAAGAAGAGAACTGGAAGAAAATGTTTATTCCTGAAACCACACTTCCAGAAGGAACAAAAACATGAAAAGAATCAATTTTCTTTTTCCTCCCCATTCTCCTTCACGTGTTCTTTATTCCCAGCATTACAAAGCACAGAAAGAACAATGTGTTTGGAGTTGCTACTACTTAAATAACTGGAAAGATTGTATGGCACAATGTCAAGAGCATATTAGACTATGCAATGAAAGGTACCTCCCTCTTCTTTTATTTTGCATTTTAGGTCCTCTGTTTTGATTTTTCTGCAAGGTTTCTCAAGATAAAAAAAATAGAAAAAGAATTACTGTTTAAGTAAATGTAAATGGCTACCTTTAAGTCATTGTAAAAAGAAACTGCCCTAGAGTTTATTTCCATAATCTTTAATTTTTTCCTTAAGTACTTAACACAAGCTCAATTGGATTTTTTTGATGCTGTGTAAATTACATTTAGTAGTAACTTTACTTCAAAATTCACAAAGGGTTCTAGGAATCTCGGGCTGGGTTGGACACCATATGGAATCTTTTAATTACCATTTCTTGATCAGTTTATGGTTTTTCAGCCTTTGTTATTTACTATTTTTTTCCACGTTAACTTGAAAGGAAGAAGAAGGAGAAAAATATACTCCAGGTCTACCTGCTCTCTGTGGCTCTTATTTACCTTTAAATGCCTCTACTCTCAGGAAATGTTAACCTATCTTGGGTCTAATTCTTTTTGTATATAAATCTTATTTCCATGCCACTTTATCATCTATGGTTACTTTTACTTTGAATGGATAAATCAAGGTTTTCCTACATTCATTTATTGTGGATTCTCTCAGTAACCAAGTCAATTTTTTTCACACAAAATACTTAATGTAACTTTTACCTTTCTGAGAATAAATTGCTCATAAAATTTTTAGCTAATTTCACCAGAGTATTGGAAATTGAAAGACATATGTTAGAGGAAATAAAGAGAAAAAGTGATAAGTAATAAATTCTGAGTAACATAAACATAAAAATGAGCCACTTTCCTTATTTTAATTTTTAAATAAAGACAAATCAAATTATTTATGAATATTTGTGGCATATACCAGAGATAAATTTAGAGAAGAAAATACCCCAAACAAATATACTTACTTCAGCATTGGATAACATGTATTTAAAATAGAGATATAAAAGCAATAGACAAAAATGACTCATATCAACAATTTTAGAAACTGTCTTAATGTATAGAAATCGTAATTCAGCCAACTGATTCTTCTGCTCCTACCAACCACAAGCCCCTCTGTAACTCTCCATTAGTTAGTTATTTTCTAAACACTCTTCATCGTGTCATGGATAGTCATTTAATATAGAAGCTTTGTGTGTATTTTAAGCTATTGGGTAGAATCTTTGGTCTCTGTGCACTAGATGCCAATAATAGCACCACCCCTTCAAGTGCTCTCTATACCCTGCTGAAAGCTGTGACAATCTGCAATACCCCAGGAGGCAAATATGCTCCTCGTTGAGAATGATAACTCCATTGTTTCACTGAACTTCCAAATTTCAAAGTTAGCTGCCTGAGGGTTGCTTTTGGGTTGCCTTCAAATCTTGTCCAGCTGTTTACACACAAAGCTCTATCTGGGTCAGCCAGTGGCTCTCAATTAAAATCACCATGGGTCTCATGAAGACTCTTTATTTCTCTTCCCTTTTCAATTTGCTGGAGTGAGAACATGCATTGGAACATCTCTCTCTGTTTTACTTGTGATTAATTGATAACTCTTACCACCTCCCCTGTGAACCGAAGATGAAAGAAGACAGGGACACACGGAAATCTGCTCTGCCATGCCTAGTAGTAAATCGAGCGCTCAATGCACTTCTCACACTTAGCTTGCCCACTGGATACTTACCTATTTGTAAGTTTCCTTGCCCCAATTCTACCTATTTTTCTGACATTGGGTATGTTTGGAAACTTACAGCAAACTGTATTTTAAATCATCATTGCCTATACCATAAATTCATATATGTGTATAGTTTTGCAAATTGTGTTGATCATTTGGTTATTTTGGAGCTACAGGAATTTTTCATGGTGACATTATTTCAAGGATAATTTGGCTCTAATGTTATTCAAACTCACTTTTTCCTCCATCATTCTAGCTAAGGGACCTATTTACATAATACCTAGTGCCTTGTTATTTTTTTATTACTGCCTCATTGGAAGGCCAAAAATAAACAAAAAGAAATATGTTTCCAAAGCATTTTTAGTTGGAGGATCTTTGTAGTATCTAGCTTTTCAATAAAATTTCACAAGCTGACTCTATTTTGAGAAAAGGTAATCCTCTTTTATGAATTACTGAATAAGGTACAGGTCAAATAGCTCAGAATCACCCATGGAACTTTTTTTATATAATAGACTATTGCAATCCAGTAGTCCTTTGAATAGTGCCTCAAATCATGAATAAATGAAAAATCTGAACAGGTCAATCTGTTTTTCCCTAGCACCAGTATTTTATTTGGCTTCCCAATAAAGTTCCATAATGAAAAACACTGAGTAAAAAACTCAAATGGTAGTTTTTCAGCTTATCTCAAACAGAGAGACTGTGGAAATAAGAGACAAAGATAGATTTAAAAGTGATGATAGCCGCATTTCTTGTCACAAGGGAAGTGGGTGTGGTGTGTAAAGAGACTTGGTTTAGCGACATACCTATAGACTAAACGAGGAGCCTGACCAGATTTGTGCCATCAACTCCCCCACTAAGGAGGAACTGGCCCATCAGGGATTATTATAAGCAGCCATTTCCAGTGAGACTTGGAATTATTGGGGCGAGATGTCAAGAAACAACAGGTGAGAGCCTCTGTTATTAGAACACTGGACACAAGTAGCCAGTGAGAATGAGATCTGGCTCCAGACAGATTACTAAGAAAGCACATGAGTCCATCCATGCTCCAGTAGAGGCCAAGGAGGAGTCAGAGGATTTAGGGAAGGTTT